AAGACAAAAACTGTTCCAGATGAACCAGCTGCCTGGGAACACCCTCCAGCCAACTGCTTACAAATATCGCACGCACCATTAGATGATTTCCAGCCCGCACACGTGGGCAATCCTTCCAGAGAATCTACTTAGAGATAATTTTTAACTGGGTCTTTGCATTTATTTACTGTAGATAAGGATGGGGGAGTGTTAGCTTTGGAGGGAATTTCTGTTTGTGTCCTCCACAGCCCAGACCACCCTTCTCCTCATCCATGGTTCGCAGCCACCATGTCAGCTCTGCCTCTTGAGACAAGAATTATGGCCTTATTTCATAGGGGACCTCACCACACTGAGTCTACAGCAAAAGAAAACTCTTCAGAAGCACCAGGATTCCCAGGACTTTGGCAGAGAGGGTCAAGACAGATTTGTCCTCTTTGGGTGGTCTCAAGGGTCCTATTGCTGGAGCATGTTGGGAGTGTGCACACTTGAATCTGCTTATCCTCGTGATCCTCCTTCGTCTTCTGGGGACATCTTAGGGTCACTGGGTCTATGAGGAGACAGTGTGGGTGACAGACCCTGGGTCCACTTTCCAGGCAGCTTTATAACCAGTTCTCCCTTCCTCCGCTTCTTAGTTTGCCTAGAAGGGATCTCTTTCTTTCCGTATTTTACATAGGTCTATTCTGACTCAACAGTTTGCATCATAACCAATGGCCAAAGCGGGCTGCAGGTGACAGCGCACGTGTCCAGCGCTCCATCTGCAGAGGGGATGGTATGAATGGGCGTCATATCCCAATTCCTGCACCTCCACGTCAATTGCTGGCAATCAGTCTCACTGCTAGGACCACGCTCTGCGCCTCGCAGGAGACAGTGGTGATAGCTCTGAAGCCTCTTCTCCCTTCTATTGCTAAACAAAACCACATACTTTGTTTTATCTAGTGGGAATTGTCTGAGGATAGTGTCAATTACTTGGATTTCTTCTCCTTTCCTTAGAGGTTTTCAAAAACACACAAGCCACTGGGGACAACTGAAGTTTACTGCACTCTCGAGAGAGAAGGTTGTCCACGGTCAGAAACACACGGGGCTGGTAGCAGGGCCTAGAACGCCAAGTGCCCTGCACCCTGCTCTGAACTACTGAAGACTTCATCTTCACCTGCTCCTCCGTAGTAATCCCTGCACCGGGAAGGGATGCTGCTGCTGAGATAATTGCATTTAATAATCTTCCCAGCACATGCTTGCAAAAGTATGAAGAGAAATAAAGAACTTGTGCACGCACACGTCAGAATCCACGCTGCAGAAATCCTGCCATCTAATTGCCTACAGAGAAATAAAAATTAAAAAAAAAAAAAATTGAGAGAGAGAGAGAGAGAGAGAGAGAGAGAGAGAGAGAGAGAGAGAGAGAGAGAGAGAGAGAGAGAGAGAGAGAGAGAGAGAGAGAGAGAGAGAGAGAGAGAGAGAGAGAGAGAGAGAGAGAGAGAGAGAGAGAGAGAGAGAGAGAGAGAGAGAGAGAGAGAGAGAGAGAGAGAGAGAGAGAGAGAGAGAGAGAGAGAGAGAGAGAGAGAGAGAGAGAGAGAGAGAGAGAGAGAGAGAGAGAGAGAGAGAGAGAGAGAGAGAGAGAGAGAGAGAGAGAGAGAGAGAGAGAGAGAGAGAGAGAGAGAGAGAGAGAGAGAGAGAGAGAGAGAGAGAGAGAGAGAGAGAGAGAGAGAGAGAGAGAGAGAGAGAGAGAGAGAGAGAGAGAGAGAGAGAGAGAGAGAGAGAGAGAGAGAGAGAGAGAGAGAGAGAGAGAGAGAGAGAGAGAGAGAGAGAGAGAGAGAGAGAGAGAGAGAGAGAGAGAGAGAGAGAGAGAAAACAAGCCACAAAGGGCAAAGCCAGTCTGTGCCAGGCACGAAGTACTTGCCCACTCTTGTCGAAATGTTAGAGCTGCAAAGTGAGCGTCGCAAACAGCAGAGCCAGCAGTCGACAGGAGGCTATCCCTGCTCTCACGGCTTTGCATGTTACTGCTGCTCCTACAGCGCTGAAGTTGTTTTCTGATGGTTCGTGACACCTGTAGAGCCTCTGGAAAGAATTACAACTTTATAGTGAAATACACCAGTTATCCTACGGCCCATTCATCTCCTTGACAAAGGTATCTTAGTCACAGAGGGTGACTCGCTCCCACAGTTAGGCTTTTTTGATCACGAACCCCATGAATGCACCATTCACGTCCCATGACCTCCTCCGCACCAGACACTGCAGCCCTTAACCAGAGCCTGCACCTACCAGCATCTGCGCTGGGCACCGATACCTGTGACCTCCTCCTGACACGCATCGTCTTTTCTAAATTAAGAAACCTGTTACATCGCTTCCTTCCTTGGCCCACGGGGTGCTAAGAAGGTCACTACCAGATCGTAGCTTAATGGGCTACCGAGTGCTGTCCTAATCCTGGAAGGACAGGAACTGCCAGAGCTGATAAATGACCTGAGCAAGTGATTACAGTCTGGATTTATTTGTGATTAGACACTGTGATGGCCCCCTCCGACACTGTTTTTTTTTTTTTTCTAAGAAGACAAGACAGAAAATTTCATCCATCCAGTTTTTTGTTGAGCTACCTAAGGATGCTCTGTGTCCTCTCACTACATGACACTTCCAACCCTGTATGGGTGGACTCAATAACAGTATTTCTGTGACCTTCCCTGTGTTGCTGGAATAATGGGCATTTTCATCAGCCTTCCTCGTTCTCCAGAGTTACTCTCAATACTCTTCTCCAATTGCCTGAATGACAGATATTTTCACAGTTTTTTCTGCATCCCCCAAGAAATAGATAGTTTCACAGCTCCCTCTGGAATCAACCTTTATTTTGTGCACTCCCAATAATTGGAGGGAGAAGTGAAAAATGAAAAAGCAGATAATCAACCAGCAACACTCAAGAGTTCAGAAGTCCTGTGAAAGTGAAGAACTCGCGGATTGAAGGAGGTGCTGCAGTTCAAGCCCTGCAGTCTGTGCATGCAGGATAAAAGACACTTTCCTCCGCTTACAGCAAATACCCTGTACGAAAAGAAGGCTCCGTAGTTTTAAGCACTGCCTAATATGCAAACAGCCAAAACAAAACTTTGAAAAACTTCTGGCAGTGTTCTTTTTAAAAACGTCTTGAATATTAAAAAAAATAAGGTATTTCTTCAATGCTGCTGAATCCCGTAATTTCATTTGCTGAGTTAAATCCTGGTCTATAGAATTAGGGCACAGTAGTTCTCTATTCATGCAGAAAAGGGTTTTTAGCCAGCTCATTTGTTTAACGTATCTGTATGTCAGAATTTTTTAGTCCTACTTTGTGTCAAGATATTCTCACTACTACCAAGGGAAGGTATATTAAGCTAGAAGCAGAAAATGGTTTTAGACAAATCACAAGCAAACCCAAATTCCCTTTCTCCTTCAACTGCCTGATTTTGGTTTGAAAAAGTTTAGGGGAATCTTCACCCCTCTGTTATTTGGAGTTTCCTGGATTAGATTGCCGGATAAGGTAAGAAGTGTAAAACTCTTGGATCCTTATTTACTGTACATGGTACCTCCTGGGGTCCACCAAGCCACAGCAGAGCTCCTACCCGTATGATAAAAAGTTTTACCCAATCACATTTATTTTTTCTCCCTCCTACGAAAGTTCCCAAGGAAAAAACCTAACCACTATACCAATTAAAACAAATGTGTTACACCAGGACTGTAGACCCTGCCGAACTGGAAACTGAGGACCTGCTTTCATCCATCTGTCTGGGAACTGGAGGGGAAAGTCCACTGTTGAAAACATTACACCACTCCATGTCATGAATTGTGCATAGTACAATTACACCCTGAAATCTTCATTCACCCTCTGCTGAAGCAAACTCCAGGTTTTACTCACCTAGAGTCCCGTTACTCTGTTCTTACTGAAACAAAACTCCCACAAAACCAGGAAGAGATCGCCCAGCTCAGGTCTTCATTGACTTCACTGCTCAGGAAGCACAGCCAGTTTCTAACAGCCACAGTGATTCCCGGACCAGCATTTCCCAATACTTAGGTCATGCTGTTGCTGGCTCTGATCCCTAAACCCTCTCCCATCCCTCCACAAAACCTCTTCTTCAAAGAGGTGCTTTCAGCTCAGCCTACCTGGCCAAGCTGGGTCTGGGGGATGTTAAAGCTCATGTCCTGACAGTGCCATGTCTGTTGGCACTTTGGAGTTGGTTATCTTCCTGGAATTGTGGCCTAAGAACACCGCTGTACCTTTTGGGGATGGGGGAACTCCTCTGTCCTGATCGAAGTGCTAAGAAACACAGCCCCGATTTGCTGGTGTTCAAGGAAATACCAAAAGCGTGCTTCCTCCCAGCCCATTTTCAAGAGGATGCTCTGCTTACCCCGTGCAGAGGCAGTATCGGGGATTTGATCAAACTCTGGGCACCCTCCTTCACCGCAACACCAGCTCTACAAGGCGCGTGCCTGTCCCGAGCACGACATCCCCCGTGTGCAGCACTTCTCCCCAGCTTCTCTTTGCAACCTCTTGCTCTGGGGTGTGCACCAGGAAAGTCAAAAGCAGAGTCCACCTCTACATTACCCAGAAGTCACGCTCGTATATTCATGTTCACTCACAACAAGCTGCAAACAGAACTTTTAGAAGAAATATAAGCAATGAATCAGAAATTAAAACATGCCAAAACCCACTGCATCCAAACCGATCACAGTCTGCCCATCAGGGTGTAATTGAAGCAATCCCGTTTCTATTGCCAATAGCACACGAGGGAATGGCAGATTCTCAGCACATCCATCAACGTTTGACCCCTCGAATGCTTACGTCAGGCCAGAATGAGGCCACTTTCAGCAGGCTCAAAGAGAAAACCTTCAGCCTGAATCCAGAATGAAGCCCACCCATACAATTCAGCACCTGAAGCAAGGTGTCCTTGCTGCCTGAAATCTCACTGCTGAGTCCCGCCTCGCGCAGCAGAACAGCAGCAGCCGGGAATTGCGGGGATCTCTCCCACCATTCCTCACGTCTAAAGGTACCTCAAGACACAGTTACTCACCGGGACTGGTGTGGGCACTTGGGGTTTGTCAGTCCTTCCCGTCACCGGTCTGGGAGCAGGCGCAGCACCCCTCTATGGTCTCAGCTTCACCCTGCAAGAATCAGGACACAGTTTTTTTTGCTAGTTGCGGTAAGCAGATAATCCAGTACTTTCTAACCCTCAGCAGAGAAGGGTATGCTGTATTGGAAAGAAAGGCCACTGGCTGGTTGTCTGCAAGGATCAGACCCAGGACTTTCTGAGCTAAGACTCTGAGCTGCTTAGCAAGGAGCTCAAATGGGAGCAGAGTCAGTTGTGTTCGCAGGGCTGAATACTTGGGATAGCTGCTGGGGAGGTGGTTCGGATTGGCTCGGGCACAAGAAATACCACAAGAACTGCGACATCGTGTTAATGCTTACAGAGAGCAAGGTAACTAGCGGATAGAGGCAGGCAGGAATTTTTGGTCACGATGGTTGGGATTTGTTAAGGGAAAACAGAGTTTCTTCAAACTGAAATATCTCACAGTAAAGCAGAAACTTTTTCATGGTTTTAAATTTCTTTTGTGTTTTGAAACTGAAGATTTTGCTTTGGGTCAGGCTGACTTGACTTGAAACATTTTGTTGATGGAATTAAAATTTCTGCTTTAAGTCAGTTCCTCTGGGTCCCCCCAAGCTGCCAGGATACCTCCTGGGACTTTAAATTAAGGTGCTTTCCCTTCCCTGCTGTGGGCTGAGGTACCTGGTTGGACTGCACACCGTGCACTGATTATCTCCTTGAGAGACCTGCCAGGTGGAAACACAACCAGGGTGTTACCATTCAGAAGTGGGAGCTACAGGACCTTCTACAGCATTTTTTATCTTGGGCAACACGCAAGTGCCTGCTGAACGGGCTCCTGGTGCAGCAGCGTCGGCACAGTCCGGCTGGCACACGATCCTCCTCACAGGGAAGACTGCTGAGCATGGCTGCACATCCCATAAGAACTGCGCTAATGCTTTAGAGATGGTATGTAGGTCCCATCAAATCCTCACTCCTCTGCAACCAAATGCACTCTGAATCTTCCCCTGGTCCCAGCACTCCGGGCAAGGAGCTGGGAGCTGTGGTTGAATGGATGGGATGTAGCGAGACCTCCTCCATGCTTTGTGCCCTCCAGCCCCGGGCTCCGGGACAAGGACTGCCCCTCCAAGCTCACAGCCTACATAGTCCAGAGCTGATGGGAACCGGATCCAGGTCTCCATACTCCCACTCCAGTGCCTAAGCCATTAACAAGACCCAGTGATTTAAACCCATTCCTTCAAATCAGCCTTTTTGGGCTAGCAATGGTCTACAACAGAGGCAATAAATCACCGTGAGATTCCTGCTCTGCTTGCTCCACCCTCCTCAAACCAGTGACGATTCCCACCTCCTGCCTTCCAAGCAATGTTTCCTGAGTAACCACAGCTTTCATTGAAAGACCAATACTTTTTCCACCCCGCTGTCCTGGTTTCGGCAGGGATAGAGTTAATTTCCTTCCTAGTAGCTGGTACAGTGCTGTGTTTTGGATTTAGGAGGAGAACAATGTTGATAACACACCGATGTTTTAGTTGTTGCTGAGCAGTGCTTACACTAGTCAAGGACTTTCCAGCTTCCCATGCTCTACCGACTGAGCAGGCTGGAGGTGCACAAGAAGCTGGGAGGGGGCACAGCCAAACTGGCC